GCCTGAAGAAGTCATCTTTGATGTCCAGCCCAGTCAAGCCTTCACATGGCTCCAACCCTATCTACCTGAAACCTCATAAGAGACTCCAACCAACAACCAACCAGCTGAGCCCAGCCAATCCACAGAACCATGAGAGATAACAATACTTTTTTTAAGCCACAAAGTTTTGGAGTGGTTTCTTACAGAGGAATAGATAACCAAAAAAGGCCCTAAAACCTGTGGACTAGCAGAGCCTAGTCTCAGGACAGGAAGTAGATATTAGGTGTTACCCTGAGAAATTCCACGCCTTGGTTCCTAAACCAATTGTTTTGGTTATTATTTAGTTTGGCTTCATCAAACAACAGAAAATCCCAGACAACAATGCCTTAAACAAGTTGGAAGTTTCTTTCTTTCACAAAAGCCTGCGGAAATGATCTAGACTGGAATAGTGCTCTAAGATATCAGGAACCTGGTCTTTTATCTTGTCTCTGTGCTATGCATGACTTTAGCCTCTTGCATCAAGCTAATGCTTGAGAAGTAGGATGGAAGAAGGGATGAAGAGCACAAAGGAAGATTATTTAAGGTCACTACATGTCACTTCTACTTATATCCTATTGATTAATATGTATCTCATGGCCATGCCTAGCTGCAAAGGAGATTGGAAAATGCTGTCTTGATTCTGGTGGCCATGCACCCAGCTCTAAATTCTACTACTTTAGGTAAGAAAGGCCACTGGGAGACACTTCATAGTGCCTGTCTCACTGCTATGCCTTGGAAAGAGAGACACAAGGTAACTGCATCATGTATGGGGGGCTGACTCAGAGCATGGATCCCTGCCAGAAGGGAGCAAGCAGGTGTCTCCCAGTGGGCACTGTAAGCCTCCACAAGGCCATTCTACCAAGTTATTAGGCCAGCTGCTCCTGGATAAGGGGTGGAGCCCATTAGGCAAAGAATGAATTCTATGGGCCTTAGGCCATTGCTACTTTTGCTGAATTCCTTGATAGATGCAAAGTGAATTCCTTGATAGATGCAAAGTGAATTCCTTGATAGATGCAATGTCGTCTGACATCCCATGACTGGGTCAAAGCTTTCCAGGCTGTGATGCAGGCAGAGGCATAAATGGCAGGGAAAGCAAATCCCAATCGAAAGCAAATGTAGTACATTGCTGTGAGAACAATTTACCTGCTCCAGATGGAGTTAGCCCCAGCTGTGGAACAGGGAGGCACGAGGTAGGAGGGAAAGTGTTATCAGGTTATTAAGTATGAAATGTCCGATTACTGCTAAATTTGACTGGCTTTAAAAAAAAATGTCCGATTACCTTAAGAACTAAGTTCGACAGTTCCTATCTCTGATATTTCACTTTGATACATCTTGTTTTATTTTTATTGTGAAGGTACATCCTCATTTTTTGAAATGCACAGTTTGCCGTGTGATTATCTTTCAAATGTTTTTAGAGCAATTTTTGTGAAACCATGGATAAGTCCAAAATTTGTATTATTTTAGAATATGAGTTCCATCCTGGAAACAGTGCAGCGCAGACAGCTCAAAATGTCAACGAAGTGTTTGGGAAGGATGTGGCTAATGAATGTACAGTATGTCAATGGCTTGAGAAGTTCTGTTCTAGTGATTTTAATCTTGCAAATGAGCCACATGGGTGACTTGAGACCAAGGTGGATAATGATGACCTGAAGGCTGTAGTGAAAGCCAATCCATCTCAACCTATGGGTGAATTAGCGGCAAGGTTTGATGTTGCTATTAATATTCCAACAGTATTGGACCGTTTGAAACACATTGGCAAAGTACAGAAGCTGGAAAGATGAGTACTGCCTGAATTAAACAAGCATCAGAAGAGAAGTCATCTTGAAGCTTGCCTTTCTTTGCTGTCACGACATAAAGGTGAACCATTTCTACACCGTATTGTTACACGTGATAAAAAAAATAGATTACTTTTGACAGTCGCAAGTGTTCAGCACAATGGTTGGAACAGGTGAGGTGCCAAAACATAATCCAAAACAGAATATTCACCAAAGAAAGCTAACGGTGTCTGTTTGGTGGTCTGGCACAGGCAATATCTATTACAGCTTCATGAAACCTTGTGAATCCATTACAGCAACCAATTGGATAAAATGATGAGGATGCTTGCAATTAAGCAGCTGAGATTGGTCAAAAGAAACAGGCCAATCCTCTTGTAAGACAACACTCAACTATGTGTCACAAAAACAATGCTGCTCAAACTACAGAGGCTGGACTTGGAAACTCTCTGTCATCCACCATATTCACTAGACCTTGCACCAACTGATTACCACTTCTTCCAAGCTTTGGACCACTTCTTGCAAGGAAAAATATTCCATTCTCAACAAGCTGTGGAAAATGCCTTTCACAATTTCATCACCAATCACTCACCAGGCTTCTTCCCTACTGGCATAAACAGCTACTGTTTGCCATCTTAAGATGGCAACACTGTGTGGATAATTTAGGTGCATACTTTGATTAATTGTACTGCCTCTTGTTTGAGATATAATAAACTAAACTTTTGACTTAAAATCGGACATTTCATACTTAATGACCTAATAACTTCCTTCTCCACAAGAGGGAGGTACACAGGAGAGACTGCAGACAGGAGATGATTAGAGGGTTGGACTCTCCAAGTCCTCCACAAGCTCTGGATAGCTCCATCCTTCCCTAAAAGAAAGTTGGCAAAGTCATGTATTTGGCTGACATTGAAATTCAGCAACTCCTTGAATCTAAGCATGGCTTCAACAATCTCAAACCCACGGTGAAAATTTTTCACCTTGCCACAGAAAAGTCCCAAGTTTCAGTCTGTGCCTTGTGGTAAACATCTCAAGACTAGAGCTCGTCATTCTCTCAATTTAAGATACCTGATGCTTTCAGAAGCAGCCACCCCCCTACTGGTTGCAACCTCTTATCTCTCTTTTAGGTGGTTAAAGTGTTGGCTTCAGCCTGTCCAAAATCCCAAGTGACCAAAAGAGATTAATTAACCTCTGTGCTCCATGGGCTGCTGGTTCCCATTCTAGAAGATAATTAGGATTCTCAGTGTCCCACTCCCTATCTCTGCTCAAGAACCATGAACCAAGGAAAAGCTAAGCTCCTGCAATAAAAAGACAAACAGAGTAGCCTATTTCCCCCTGTGAGGAGTAGTCCAGGGCAGCGGGGCAACTTTGCTCCTTTGTCATTCATTTCTCCACATAGATGAAGCTGGTCTGCCCTCACACCCAGGTTCCAACTGGTAAGAAAGGAGAAAAGAAGTTTCTTGGTTTGTAGCTGCCTCACTCCAATCCTCTGTCATGACGTGGCATTCTTGTGTGTCTCCACATTGTCTTCCCCCATATGTGTCTGTCTCTGTGTCCAAATTCCCCTTTTTGATGACACCAGTCACATTGGTTAGAGCCCAGCCTGGCAATCTCATTAAACTTGATTACCTCTATAAAGTCCCTATTTCCATATAAGATTACATTTGGAGATCCTGGGGGTTAGGACTTCAGCATATTTTTGGGAGTGGGGGACAATTCAAACCATAGCAGGGTCTGTTATCTGCAACCAACTCTTGGGTGCTGATGTCTGTATCATTTGTAACAAAAGCAAACCTAAGCAAAGAAAGACAATGTATTGAAAAGATATCAGGTAGCTTCTGGAATCAAAGGAGAACTTGAACAATCAGGCCTTGGGAGGGATAGAAATCAGGGCAGCCCCAGGCAAAAATTCCTGGACATCTCCTTAGGGCCTGCCTCTAGAGGTCCTTCTGGCTAAGTGTCCCTTCTCTTAAGATACAAATTCCTGGAAGAGTTAGTTAGGTTGGCCTGTGGTGGGACCAGGGTCTGTTTGGAAGCATGTGAGTGGGATCAAGGGATGGACAATCTTGCTAGGACCTTGTGGTGTCGGGGAGGGGCAGTTCCCCAGAAGAAAGTGAGGGGCTGTGACCAAAAGATAGGGGAGGGGTGTGTTGTGCAGGTGTTTGCTGTACATTGTCATTCATTTGAGAAAGACTTCCAGCTCAGGCAGCTATGTTTCTAAATATTTTGGCGCTTAAGGAGCCATTTAGTCATCTGGAAAATGCAGTTGTGGGGAAATGCAGTGTCATGTGGCAAAAAAGAGCACTCCTGTGGAAGGAGAGCAAGTTTTGTTTTGCCTTTTAAAATATTTGCAGATGGTATAATTCTAGCCTGAAAACTGAAGACAATTAACTGGAAAGCTCTTGGAAACAAGTAAGTTCAACCAAGTATCAAGTTACTAACTGGAAATAAAAATAATGTAATATTAATCAATTAGGAAAAAAACATAACAGAACAAAAGATGTTATTCAACTTAGCTACAAAGGCAGTTTGTAAAAGAATAAACTCAGCAAGAAATGCAACATGTCCCCATGAAGAAAAAAACATCAGATTCTCCTTGGAGGCATAAAAGATGAAGGATAGGAAGACTTGAGATAATAAAGATATCATTGCTCCATAAATGAATTGATTCAGTTAAAGATTTCAGCTGAACAAACAAACCTCAGCCAATCAAAATCTTACTTAGATTTTTTTAACTTGAAAAACTTAAGTTTTTATGAATTTTTTTTTTATGGAATGCTTCACGAATTTGCGTGTCATCCTTGCGCAGGGGCCATGCTAATCTTCTCTGTATCGTTCCAATTTTAGTATATGTGCTGCTGAAGCAAGCACAGTTTTATGAATTTTTATGAGTCTAAAATTCATAGGACTATTCCTGTGACAGGACTATAGTCTCTGTCCTTGGATGTCAGATCGTCATAGCCAACAAGCTTTCTTCCCAGGTTTTGATTCTGGCTATGTCATTTAATGATCTTTGGGACCTTGGGCGGGTAATGTCACCTCTTTGGGCCTTAATTTCCACAACCGTGAAGTGAGATAACTTCCTGTTTCACAGACCTGTAGCAAGAATCATGTGAGAGAAAGAATTTTATAAATTGTGAAGCACTTTTCATGTTATAGCTATTCTTTTTGTTTTTATTCTTCAACAATACCAGATAAATGGGAAAAATCATGACGCAAAAGGTGTCCATTGCTCTGATTCTGCAAAAAAGACAAATACTCTCAGTAAACTCAGTTGCATGATGATTTAAATATTTAATTCCTGTGAAGCACAGAAAAGCTAATGCAAGCTGCTTGCTGTCCCAGAGGGAGAAGTCATTTGCTCGGCCACTCACTGGTCACAGAACTGAGCAAAAGGCTTATTCCTCCCCACTGTCCCCTCAACCCACATTGTCATCTGTAGGATAAAAGGTTTTGGACTTTAGGGTGTGTGAGAGCATAAACTTTGGCGTCTTTTCAGATCTTGGTTTGAATTCTATAGCCAGCAACTTGTCCTTTCTTTTCTTGGGTTTCAGAATCTATCACACAGGCATTATATTATCTCCATCATCAAGGAGGCCTGAGGATTAACTGTGATAATAAACACAAAGTGCCTGGAACCTAGTAAACGCTCAATAAATGAGCATTATAAATGATTAGCTGTTGCACTTACCATCATCATTATTATTGCTCTAACGGCTGTTGCAGCTTTAAACGTTGAGAATAATATGTCAGAGAAAAGCTAAAACAGACAGAAAACAGAAATGGTCCCTTAATAGGGCTTGAGTCAGTACTTGCAAAGAAGATATTTTTCTGGAAGATGGCATGAGTGTTCATAGGGCCTCAGTTAACCTTGGTGACTCACAACCAGAGCTCAGCTGGGTTCTGCCTCCTCCAGAAAAAGGGGGAGAGAGGAGGGAGGAGCCTGACGGTGCTAGACAGGGGAAAGCCCTGGCCTGGGAGCCACAGCTGATGGTCCCTCAGAGGGTCTAGTCCAAGGGTTTTTATTTTTTATTTATTTTTTTTTTTTGAGACAGAGTCTCCCTTTGTTGTCCAGGCTAGAGTGAGTGCCGTGGCGTCAGCCTAGCTCACAGCAACCTCAAACTCCTGGGCTCGAGCGATCCTTCTGCCTCAGCCTCCCGAGTAGCTGGGACTACAGGCATGCGCCACCATGCCCGGCTAATTTTTTTATATATATATCAATTGGCCAATTAATTTCTTTCTATTTATAGTAGAGACGGGGTCTCGCTCTTGCTCAGGCTGGTTTTGAACTCCTGACCTTGAGCAATCCGCCCGCCTCGGCCTCCCAAGAGCTAGGATTACAGGCGTGAGCCACAGCGCCCGGCTTGGTCCAAGGGTTTTTAACTTTTATATGTTCAACTGAAGAACTTATTTTTTTCTTGCAAATAAATTTTGAGGTAGGTACCACGGGGTGCCAACCCAAAGCTATGCCTTCTCCTTCCTTGAGAGCAGAACACTGACCTTCCTCCGGATCAGGCAGGTGAGTGGCTCGGGAGAGAAGGGTGCAGCCTCCGGGACAGGGGGTAGGAGGAAGACGCATCACTCTTGCCAGTGATTGGTTTAGGAATGGGCATGTGACACTGTTCTGACCAATGAGCTATGAGGGGATGGCTGCCGCCTGGGCTTCTGGGAAATGTTTCCTCATTCTTGAGAAAAGGACGTGCCTTGTATCTCTGGTGACACTAGAACAATACAAACCTATGAAGGGTACATTAGTTTCCTATTGCTGCTGTAACAAATTACCACCAACTCGGTGACTTAAAACAACATGAATTATTCTCTTACAGTTCTCGGGATCAGAAGCGTTACTGGGCTGAGACGAAGGTGCCGGCGGGGCTGTGCTCCCTCCTCAGGCCCCAGAGGAAATCTGCTTCCGCACCTTTCCCACCTTTTAGAGTTTCATTCCTTGCGTCCCTTGGCATGTGGCTCCTGCCTCCGTCTTCAAGGCCAGCAACATAGCGTCTTCAAATCTCTCTCTGTTCTGTCTTTGTCTTGCCTTCTCTTCCGTGGCTAAATCTCTCTCTGCCTCCTCTCTATAAGGACGCTTATGATTACATTTAGGGATCACCTGGGTAATCCAGGATACGTTCCCCCATCTCAAGATTCTTAATAACATCTGCGAAATCTTTCTGTCAAATAAAGTATCACCCACAGGTTCCAGAAATTAGGATCTGGATATCTGTGGGGGCCATTAATTAGCCTACCGCAGAGGGGATTTGGGCACTACCTAGCAAAATTACCTGTACATTTTTTTGAAGTCCGGCTTATTGGGGTATCATTTACACGTAGTAAAATGTACTCTTTTTAGTGTATAATTCCATGAGTTTTTACCAACACATATGATTGTGTAACTGCACAATAATCAAGATATAGACCCAAGAGATTCACATACGTTGCCCCTATGTAATCAAACCATTCCCTTGCCCTAGCCCTTGGCAACCACTGGTCTGTTCTCTGTCCCTGTAATATTGCCTTTTTGAGAATGCCATATATATAGAGTATGTAGTTTTTTAAAATATGGCTTTTTTCCTTTAGCATAGTTCATTTGAAATTCATCTATGTTGTAGGGTATCAGAAGTTTGTTCCTTTTTGTTCCTGGGTAGTGTTCAATTGTATAGATGAATCACAATTTGTCCATCAGTTGGAGGACACTTGGGTTCTTTCCAATTTTTGGTGGTTATGAATAAAGCTTCTATAAATGTTCAAGTATAGACAAGTTTTATGTAGCTATAAGTTTTCATTTCTCTTGAGTGAATATGTAGGAAAGGGATTACTGGTCATATTATAAATGTACTGCATGTTAAACTTTATAAGGGACTGACAAAATGTTTTCCAAAATGGCTACACCATTTTGCATTCCCACTAGTTATGTAGGAGTGATCCTATTTCTAGATATCACAGAGATGCAGTGGCAAAAATATGAAAAGATGCAGGTACAAGGCAAACCTATGCAGCTCTATTTGTAATTGCAAGAAAATGGAAACCACCCAAATGTCTATTGGAAGATGACTAATTGAATAAACTATGGCACATCCCTCAAATGGAGAATTATGCAGCTGTAACAGGGAACAAGAAATTTTATGGCCGGGTGTGGCGGCTTATGCCTATAATCCTAGCACTCTGAGAGGCTGAGGTGGGAGCATTGCTTGAGCTCAGGAGTTTGAGACCAGCCTGAGCAGCAGTGAGACCCGATCTCTACTAAAAATAGAAAAATTAGCAGGGGGGGGGGGGTGGAGGCGTGTGCCTGTAGTCCCAGCTACTTGGAGGCTGAGGTGGGAGAATAGCTTGACCCCAGGAGTTTGAGGTTGCAGTGAGTTTTGATGATGCCACTGTACTCTAGCCAGGGCACACAACGTGAGTACTTCGTGTCAGAAAGCAAAGAAAAGAGAGAGAGAGAAGAGAGAGGGGGGAGGAGGGGGGAAGGGAGGCGAGGGAGAGAAGAGAGAGAGAGAGAGAGAGAGAAGGAACGCAGCACACGAGACGAGAGAGAGAGAGAGAAGAAGACAAGAGACACACGACAAACCAAGGAAAGAAAAGAAAGAACAGAAAGAGAAGAAAGAAAGAAAGCAAAGACAACCAGACAGACAACGACACAGCAAAGGAGGAAAGCGAGGGAAGCGCACAGAAGCCACGGCACCACCACCGCGCACGCACCGCCCTGCCCCGCGCACCACCCGACGCCGGCGAACCGAACCCACGACGGCCCACCACCCCGGCCGACCGCCGAACCAGGGAAGGAGGGAGAGAGGGAGGGAGTTTGGTTAATTTTTCTACTACTATGTGTGATCTCCAGGATATATATTTTTTAAGCAAAAAAGAGAGAAGTGTGTAGAGTATGCAATCATTTATCTATAAATAAAAGAAGCTATAAAAATGTAATAAAATATTACTATAGCAAAAGGGAGGGAATGGGGAGGAAGAGGGAAGAAGCTATGTTTTTTAAAATGTAGCTTGCTTTGTAGATTTAACTTTGGAACAATGTATTTCATGTAATTACAAACAAAAATTTTAAAAAATCCCTAGAGGTTGAAAATAAAATGAATTAAAAATGACGCTAACTGTGCATCCAGTTAATGACATAACCACACAGAGAAGACTTTGAATGACTTTAAATCACTATCATTTGACTCTGTTTCACTAGAGGAATATATCTGACAAAAAAGAACTGCACATCTGACAAAAAGAATACTTATATTGATGTTCTTAAGAATTCATATATTTGGCATAGTTGATAGGAGATAAAGATGCAAGATCAATAAGGTTGAGTAAAAACTCTGCAGTCCTCCATTTTAATTGGAAGTATCAGTATGAATGCATTATACCTTTTAGCTTTAGAAAACAATATATATATATACATATACATATATATAAACTATGCCCACTAAGAATAATTGAAATTCAAGTAAACTGTAAAAATAAAAGCACATTTTTTTTTCCAAGACAGGATCTTGCTATATTGCCCAGGTTGGAGTGCAGTGGCTATTTCCAGGCACAATCATAGCACGTTGCTGTCTCAAACTCCTGGCTCAATCAATCCTTCTGCCTCAGCCTCCCAAGTAGCTGTGACTACAGGTGTGTGCCACAAGGCTTGGCTGGAAAACACATTTTTAAGACAACCAGGGAAATGTGAACTTTATTGCACATTTAATGACACTAGGAAATGATTATTCATGTTTTTATCTGTGATAATGATATTGTAGAGATAAAAAAAAAAAAAAGAATTTGTGCCAGGTGTGGTGGCACATGCCTGTAGTCCCAGCTACTCAGGAGGCTGAAGTGGGTGGATTGCTTGAGCCTAGGAGTTCAAGGCTGCAGGGTGCCATTAATAGGATCTCACCTGGGAATAGTCTCTGTGCTTCAGCTTGGGCAACATAGTGAGACTCTGTCTCTATAAACAAATAAATAAATTTTAAAACAAAGGAATTTGTATCTTTTGGAGATATATTGTGAAATAGTTGCACAATATTATGTCTAGAATTTTACCTCAAAATAATCTAGGGGCAAGGAGGGGAAAGATATGTGAACATGTAGATGATTTGAGATGAGTATGTAGTGATGGTTGTAAAAGCTGGCTGAAGGGTACATTAGTGCCATTATACTATTCTCTCTACCTTTGGATGGTTTTTAAATTTTCCACAATAAAAATGGGTGTTTTTTTATTGAAGAGATGTGAAGAAAGTTGTGTATATTGTGTGAGGATGTGGTTGTTTTGTGAGGAGCTGCTGCAGCCACTTTGTGACAATGAGAGGGCAAGCCAGAGGCTGAAAGCATCCATATTGATAGATATTTCATTTATATAAATTCAAATGTATTGAACTAATTGTAAAGTTAGTTAATGAGAAACTGAGGCAATTCTGATGGACAAAGATCTTGAAATTGGGGTTCTCAATGTATACATTCATGAGAATTCTTTGCTTGCAATTAGTAGAAACCTTAGCTTAGCCTAGTCAAAAGTTGGACATTTATTATTGGGTCTTAGGGCAGTCTTGTGGAATTATAGGACAGAAATACCACTGAGATTTATGAAGAACATGGTTCAGAATGTAAAGTTCCTCTGGATTCTTTCTCCAACTCTCATCTCCACTCTTCAGCATTATTTTGACTATCTCTGCTCTCTCTTGTTGCGGAACAGCATTCTTCACTTTCCAGTCCACATCATGGGAAACATGCCCACCCATAGTTTCTGGGTTTTACAAGCCCAAGTTCAGCCATTCAAATACAGATAGATTTTTTTTCTCCCAGGCCCGTTTCCAAAAATTCTAGAAGAAATCAGTTGGTCCAGAAGCTGGGATTGTCCAATCCGAAGGGATAGCCCACTTCTAGGTCAGTGGTGGCTAAAGTTCAAGGCATGTGTGAAATGATTGCTCCTGTGGTGTTTGTGGCGTTCATGTGAAGGGAGGAGGTGGGGAGAACAATGCCCAGAGACACGGGGGTGGAAAGTGACTATGCAAACAGAACAATAGATTGTTCTAGATGAGTCTGGCCAGATTGCGAAGTCCAGAATGGGTGCAAAGATTGGTGAGAATGATGACTTGGACAGGTTGAACTTTGCTTGACTATGGAAAGCAAACAAATGGAGCAGAAGCTATGCATGGGGCAAGGATACAAGGGAGGCGACTCAGTTCCCGTGGCCTCCTGGGTTCTCACAGAGGCTTGCTCAAGTTCAGTGGTCAGTGCAGCCCATGAGTAGTCAGAAACCAGCCAGGCCTTGGTGCTCATGGAAAGGCCATGTCAGCGCTCAAGGGCCCGTCAACTCCCACCTAAGGGAACCCTTGCCGCACTGCTGTGCCACATCTGTCCCACACTGTTCCATTTCTTACGGCACCATCAGGCCTAAATAGGCTCCACTTGGCCTGCCAGGCAAGCAGCATGACAGCTGTAGCCTTCCATCTGTGCGGCTTCTAGTTTCCCTCTGCCTTCTATTCTGGTTACGTAGTATTGAGAAAATCCTGATTCACACAGATAAGTTGTTGCAGATTGAAACAGTTTTTCATCATCTCCCACTGCAATATCAGGCTCAAGCTACTTTTCAGTTAAACTGATCTCGAAGCTTGAGAGAGAAGTGAGTAGAAAATTTGTGATTCAAGATGAAATCATTAATAATAGCCAGTAGATGCCAGTGTTCTGTAGATTCATTTGAATCAGGAGGAAGAGAGCATTCAAGATTT